CCCAGAGTTCAAGCCCCACGACCGACAAAAAAAAAAAAAAAGTAGGTCTTTAGTAGGTAGCCTTAATTTTCAATCCTCCCTCCTTTAGACTCCAGACTGCTGGGAATACATACCATGCCTGGCTCATGGTAACTTAAAAACAAAAAACTCTTCTTTTTAGAAGGAGTAAGACTGACTGGAACATATTGTAAATGTGTAGAGTAACAATAAAATCTCCCTCAGCAGAACTGATAAACCAAACAGCCAGGTGCTGAGTGGCTTATGCCTGTAATCCTAGCTACTCTGGAGGTTGAGATCTGAGAATCAAGGCTCAGAGCCAGCTCAAGCAGACAAATCTGAATGACTCATTTCCAAAACTAACCAGCAAAAATCCATAACACTAGGCATGGCTCAAATGGTAAAGCGAGAGCACATCGCCCTGACTTCAAATCCTAATAACAACAACAAACAAAACTTTTATCACTTTTGTCTTCATTTTTCTTTTTGTGGCACTGGGGCATATGCTAGGGGTATGTTCTACCACTGATCTACATTCCCAACCCCAAGTAGCTTTCTCATTTTATTTTGGTGCTGGTACTGGGGTTTGAACTCAGGCCCTGAGTGCTGTCCCTTAGTTTTTTTTGCTCACAGCTCATGCTTTACTACTTGAGCCTTTTAGGTAATTTTTTTTTGGTCATGGGGCTTGAACTCTAGGCCTGGGTACAGTCCCTGAGCTCTTAAGCTCAAGACTAGCGCTCTACCACTTGGGCCACAGTGCCACTTCCGGTTTTCTGGTGGTTAATGGGAGGTATGAATCTCACAGACTTTCCTGCCCAGGCTGGCTTTGAACCGTGATCCTCAGCCTCAGCCTCCTGAGTAGCTAGGATTACAAGCCTGAGCCACTGGAGCTTGGCTAGGTAATCTTTTTTCAAGAACAGAGGCCTTAGTTGGGTGCTGGTGGCTGATACCTGTAATCCTAGCTATTCAGGAGGCTGAGATCTGAGGATTATGGTTCAAAGTCAGCCAGGGGAAGGAAGGTCCATGAGATTCATCTCCAATTAACCACCAGAAAATTGGAAGTGGAGCTGTGGCGCAAAGTGGTAGAGAACTAGACTTGAGCAAAAAAGCTCAAGGATACCACCCAGGCCCTGAGTTCAAGCCTCAGTATAAGCACCAGAATAAAATAATAAAATAAAAAAGCTATTTGGGGATATAGCTCAAAAAAAAGAAAGGAAGGAAGGAAGGAAGCCTGGACAAGGCAGGAAGGACAATGTGGAGAGAGAAAAATAAGTAATTCTCAAGGGGAAGTCTCTGAGGGTTAAAACTAGCCAAGGACACAGGAAGCCAGGCACAGGCAGATTTCCATTGCTAACTGAGGATTTTGGCCAGTGTCCCACTGACTGACCACGTGACAAAGCTACCAAGCAAAACCTTCTCCAGTAGTCAGGACTCTTATCAGATCCAGTGACTCGGAGAATCCAGAGTTTGGGTTTCATGGTTGGGAGATGAGAATCTACCCTGTTGTGCTCTGTCCCTGAGCTTTTATGTAACATGGAACCCATACCAACCTCAATAGGAGCCCCAGATTCTCCCTGAGAAGAAAAGAGAGAGCTGGACTAATATGAGCTCTGACATCTGGTTTCTGACATTCTAATAGTATCACTTTTTGTCTTTTCCAGTCCTGGGGCTTGAACTCAGGGCCTGGGCCCTGGCAAGATGATCACTTTTTATGTTGGCAACCAGGAACTTCAATCCTAAATCTCAAGCTAAGCACTAGTGGCTTATGAGTGTAATCCTAGCTGCTCAGGAGGCTGAGATCTAAGGATTGTGATTTGAAGCCATCCCAAGCACAAAAATCTGGGAGATTCTTATCTCCAGTAAACTACCAAAAGGCCAGAAGTAGAGCAGTGGCTCAAGTGGTAGACCCTTAGCCTTGAGCAAAAGGACAGACAGTGCCCAGACCATGAGTTCAAGCCCCAGGACTGATAACACACACACACACACACACACACACATACACATTGGGTTTGAACTTGGGGCCTTACACTTGTTAGACAAGTGTTCTACTACCACTCACCTTTTTTTTTTCTTGCCTCCTAACTCTTCCTTATAATAGCTGTGTGACCCTGGGCAAGGTATGTGTCTCTGAGCCTCAGCATCCTCATATAAAAATAAGAAATCATAACATCCTCCCCTCCCCAACTCTGTTATGAGAAATGATGCACCTAAGGACAGGCCAAGTGCAAAGGCTGACTGGTGTGCAGCTGGATGCTCAGCTCGGTCCAAAGACATCTTAAGAGGAAGAGAAAGATGAGCTGGTGGCTTGCACCTGTAATCCTAGCGCTCAGAGAAGGTGGAGATCAGAGAATCAAAGTTTGAAGCCAACCCCAGGAAGGAAAGTGAGACTTTTATCTCCAATTATCCACCAAAAAGCCATAAGTTGAACATGTGGTTCAAGTGATAGAACACCACCAGCCACCAGCCTTGAGCAAAAAGTTCAGGGACAGCACCTAGATCCTGAGTTCATATTTCATGCTCCAGCATCAACACGGGGGGAGGGAAGGGGGAGAGAGAGAGAGACAGACAGACAGACAGACAGAGACAGAGAGAGAGACAGAGACAGAGAGACAGAGTGAGACAGAGAGAGAGACAGACAGACAGAGAGAGAGGCTAAGAACTCACCTGTAGGACAAACTGGGCAGCCACTGGCTTGTGGTCACTGACTGTATATTCCATATGGCTTCGGTAGCTGTGCTGGGTCACCTGGAGCCGATGGCTCTCCCGTCCTGAGGGGCTGGGGCCTCCACCTGGAGCCTTGACCTTCCACAGGATACGGTCTGTCCAGGCTGGCTTCCTCTTCTTTGCACTGTAGTGGGGGGTCACAGCCTGAGTTTAAGGGATTTGGGAGAGGGTTCAAAGCACAGGCCCAGCCTTGCCTCCTGCCCCTCTCCTCACAGTCTCCCTTTTCTAGAACACCAAAGCCTACATCCCAGCTGGGCACTGGTGATTCATGTCTGTAATCCTAGCTTCTCAAGGAGGCTGAGATCTGAGGATCGTGGGGCAAAGCTAGACCAGGCAGGAAAGTCTATAAGGCTCCTATTACCAATGAATCACCAAAAAGGCAGACGTGGAGCTATGGCTCAAGTAGTAGAGCACGACTAGCCTTGAGCAAAAGAAGCTCAAGGGCAGTGACCAGACCCTGAGTTGGAGTCTCAGGACTGTCACAAAGCAAACAAAAGCCTACGCCCTCACCTCATCCAGCTGCTCACCTGGTGTCGTATTTGTTAGTGCCCACGTCAAACTTGAAGGTGGGAGCAAAGTTAAGGGGTCCCTCCTGGAAGCCCTTCAGGATGGGCCATGTGTTCTTGGCCATGTTGAGCTGTGGGGTTCCAGAAGGGCAAAATTGGACAACAGCTTAGGCTTTCCAGCATCTGGAAGTTGAGTGTGTTGGGGGTGGGGGGTGGCTGGTGAGGGCAAGGTCCACGTGCATCCTGGGACATGCTTTGTGTGCTTGGGAGTGTGGGGTAAGGGTTAGGATTCCCTACCTGGTCCTTTTCCCAGAGCTGATGGAGCTGGTCGCTGTCGATGGCGAATTTGACAAAGTGCAGGTCATAGCTCTCGATGCGGAAGTTCAGGTCCCCAAACCAGAACACAAGGCTGTTCACAGATGGGAGTTGGGGGAGGTCCATGGGATGGAAGGGCTCAGTCTAGATCCTTCCTGGGCCCCATCCAACACGATGGCACTGGCGCTTCTGGCGATGCAGTGGATGGGTGGGCGGCACCAGACCCTCCAGCCAGCCAAGGAGCAGAGGGGAGTGGGGAGAGCGGGGTCTAGAGGAAATTCGGTTGGGATCCCCAGGAAGATCCTGCCCCTCGGCGAAGCTCCACCCTTCTCCATCAAAATGCCACCTGCCACCCACCCTTCCTCCCAGACAGGCATCAAGCATCCCTGCTACAGTCCCGGCCGGGTCCATACTCGTGATCTAGGATGCCGTGCGCTCCGGGGCCCTGGAACTGCTGAAGGCTAAGGATGGTTTGAAAGTTGTCCTTGCGCTGCTCGGCCTTGTCCATGTGGGCTGGCAGGTGGCAGTTCAGGAAGCAGAGCATGTGCCCGAAGGCCGCTAGGCGCACGCTCACTCCACCCTTGTTACCCTATGGGGCAGGAGGCGGGGGTTGACAGGTCATGGGCGTGGCCTGGACAAGGAGGCGAGGCCAGAGGTGGGAGAGAATTAGGGGGGGACGTGGGAGGGGGGGGCAACGGGGAGGACGAGGCTTGGACGGGGTGGGTCCTAGGGAAAGATGCAGAGCTCTGGGGCAGGGCGGTGAGGCGAAGGGGGCGTGGTCTAGGGCATGGGCGTGGCGTTGAGCGGGGCTTAGATAGATCCTAGGGAAAGAGGCAGAGCCCTGGGGCAGGGCGGTGAGGCGAAGGGGGCATGGCCATGGCATGGGGCGTGGCGTTGAGCGGGGCTTAGATAGATCCTAGGGAAAGAGGCAGAGCCCTGGGGCAGCGCGGTGAGGCGAAGGGGTGGCCATGGCATGGGGCGTGGCGTTGAGCGGGGCTTAGATAGATCCTAGGGAAAGAGGCAGAGCCCTGGGGCAGCGCGGTGAGGCGAAGGGGGCGTGGCCATGGCATGGGGCGTGGCGTTGAGCGGGGCTTAGATAGATCCTAGGGAAAGAGGCAGAGCCCTGGGGCAGG